TTTTTTTTTTTTTTTTCAATTTTTGATGGGTATTTAACGCGAAACTGTGAGAAAAATAAAGCAAAAACTTTTTAATTTTTCATCTCGGTCATGATTAATTGATGTTTAAAGAGCAATAAATCTGCTCCTTTAATTTTTTATAAAACTTTCACGATTCAGGATAGGAAAACGGTTCTACCGATGAATTTTAAAATGTGCCACATGGGCATGTATTGAGCTATAAAAAAACCTACAACATTGGTACTTTTCGCAGTATTTGCAAAGTAGTCGTTGATTTTCCGAAACAGTAGAAAAAGCCATTTTTACACTTTTTAAATTAACACTGAGTATAATATTTTTTCTCAAACATACCAAAAAACCGTGAAGACGATTAATTCAAGCTTCCAACACCTTGCGTTCGCTGTACGATAATTAGTTCATGCAATTTCGATGATAGAAAAAAAGATGAATTTTCACTCAATAGCCCATATTTCAATGAGAACTAATCGTATAGAAAATAAAAGAAAATTGAAGCTGAGGAATCAGGCTAAATGACCCTGAGCCCCTGGTCAGTTTTGAAAAAACAATATTTTAATTTTTGCTTTGGATTATTTCATTTGATTGCGCCGAGATTAATCAAAAAAATTTTCATCTCAAGATTTCATAATCTTCAACCTTCAAGATGCTTTTTCCTTTTATCGACACGACCATTATTCGCGAAGTTACAAGCTTTAAAAAATCACTAAAAAAAATTGGAACTTTATTTCTGCGCCATCCATTTTTTGCAGAGTTTATTTTGTGAGACTTAGTAGTCGGCTCTTTGGGGAAAAAAGACCAGTTCTATCTATACTCTAGGCATCTTGTATACTAAAAATTCATAATCCTGTCTAGCTTTCATACTTGTACCCTGTATAGTCAAAAGGCTGCTAAATATTTATAATTTGAATCAATCTTATGCATGTACAGGTCAACAGGAATAAGTATTTATGGATATCGGATCCAAAGCGCCTCAAAGCGAAGAGATAGACAGAACTTCTGCGTCTAGTCNCACACTCGCCTGGTCTCTGGGGACGCGGGTCAGTAGTGGAGCGGTTAGGGAGGAAAATATATGAGGATTTGGTTTGACAGACACTATGATTATTATTCGAGGTTTGTTCATTTCGCTGTTTTGATAGCGACGAAATAAGAACTAACAAAGTATTCCCGCAAAGGTTGTAGCTCGTAGGCAAATCTTCGTTCCTAGATTTTATATTGTCATATTTTTATACAGAGTGTTTCACAAAGACCTCCCGTAAATTCAGGGGGGTGATAGAACGGCAAAAAATAAGAATTTTGTCTTATGAACTATATGTCTATCTCCTCTTGTTTTCGAGATACAGAGCGACAAAATAAAATTTTCTAAATAGAATTTTTATGAAATTTGGTATTCCGGCTTTTTTAAGGATGCCAAAAACTCTGGTCTAACTGTTTTTTGGATATTTCATAGAGGGCGCTAGTTACGCTACATTCCTATTACATTTTAGGTTCTAATTTTTTTAAGGTTAGGTTTTTTACCATTCGGGCTGCAATTTCTAATGTACAATTTTCTTTTCTAGAAATAATGTACTCTTGTTAGAACTTCCTAATATGGACGGTTTTCGAGAAAAAAGGCTTTTAATTGAACTCTTATAATATTACGGTGAAGAAAATAAGTTACTTTTCTCAAAGTAGGCTTATGTCAAAACTTATTGATGGATGTCTCATAAACAAGGTATACATTGTCAGTAATATTTTAAACTCCTAATTAACTTTATATCAAAATTTTAGTGATTGTTAGTGACTGTAGTTAGTAATGACTAATTACAGTCACTAAAATTTTTTTAAAGTTAATTAGAGTTTAAAATATTACTGGGAATGTATGCGTTGTTTATGAGACATCCATTAATAAGTTTTGACATAGGCCTACTTTGAGAAAAGTCACTTATTTTCTACACCGGAATATTGTAAGAGTTCAATTAAAAGCCTTTTTTCTCGAAAACTGTCCACATCAGGAAGTTATAACAAGAGTACATTATTTTTAGAAAATAAAATTGTACATCGAAAAACCTAACCTCAAAAAAATTAGAACTTAAAATGTAATAGGAATGTAGCATAACTAGCGCCCTGTATAAAATATACAAAAAGTAATTAGACCGTTTGGAAATTTTCCTAAAAATTCTATTTAAAAAATTTTATTTTGTCGCTCTGTATCTCGAAAACAAGAGGAGATAGACACATAGTTTATAAGAAAAAAATTCTTAATTTTTGTCGTACTATCACCTCCTGAATTTACGGGAGGTCTTTCTGAAACACTCCGTATAGTTCAATTAGTAGAGTTCACAAAAGTAATAAGTTATATGTAAGCCACTTTAAATTATCCTGATAAATAAGAATTGACACTTTATAGACATTTATAAAGCCAGAAATAAACGGGCGGCATTTTACAAGTCGTTGCATTTTTATTCTTCTTTTACATACACCCAGCAAAAAAAATAAGATAATTGAAAAATTTCCAAAGTTTTTCAGTGATTTTTTAAAGGCGGTAACTTTTTGATTGGTCGTATCGAGAAAAAAAAGAAGCATCTTGAAGCTTGAAGATTCTAGTTTTGAAATCTTGAAATCAAAAATTTTCATCATTCTCAACGCAATCAAAAGAAATAATGCATAATGCAAGGCAAAAATTTTACAATTTTTTTTTCAGAAAAATTTTTTTTGCCTTAATACATGCCCATGAGGCCTGTAAATTTTGAAATCCATCGGTCGAACCGTTTTCCTTTCCTGAATCGACATAAAAAATTAAAGGAGCAGGTTTATAGCTCCTTAAACATCAATTAATTATGATTAAGATGCAAAAAAAATTGCGTTGATTTTCTTACAATTTCGCGTTAAATTCTCACCAAATATCGAAAAAAAAATTAAAAATTTTGAAAAAAAAATCAAATTTCGTAAAAATTTTTTGAAAAATTTTCACAATTTCACACTGCACACTTATTAAATTTGGAAAAAAATGTTATTAAAATTTAAAATAATTTTTTTATTAATGAAAAAAAATGGTAATTTTGAAAAAAAACAGTTTTTTAAAGGCTTGAGTACTTTCGAAAAAAGGATCAATAAGTCGTATAGTAATGCGTTTAAAAAAAAATCATGAAGATCCACTTGGGGATATAAACTTAAAAAACTGAACAGAAAATGATTCGTTGATTTGAGACATTTTTTTTAATTTTTTTTTAAATTTCAACATTTCGACATTTAAAATATTCAATGTGAAATTGTAAAAATAATAACGCAAAAAAAGTTTTCAATTTTTGATGGGTATTTAACGCGAAACAGAAAAATAAAGCAAAAACTTTTTAATTTTTCATCTCAGTCATGATTAATTGATGTTTAAAGAGCAATAAACCTGCTCCTGACTTTGACGATTCAGGAAAGGAAAACGGTTCTACCGATAAATTTTAAAATTTATGTGCCACATAGGCACGTATTGAGTTATAAAAAAAACCTACAACATTGATACTTTTCGCAATATTTGCAAAGTAGTCGTTGATTTTCCGAAACAGCAGAAAAAGCCATTTTTACACTTTTTAAATTAAGTGAGTATAATTTTTTTTCTCAAACATACCAAAAAGCCCTGACGAGGATTGATTCAAGCTTCCAAAACATTTCGTTCGCTGTACGATAATTAGTTCATGCGATTTCGATGATCAAAAAAAAAGATGAATTTTCACTCAATAGCCCATATTTCAATGAGAACTAATCGTATAGAAAATAAAAGAAAATTGAAGCTGAGGAATCAGGCTAAATGACCCTGAGCCCCTGGTCAGTTTTGAAAAAACAATATTTTAATTTTTGCTTTGGATTATTTCATTTGATTGCGCCGAGATTAATCAAAAAAATTTTCATCTCAAGATTTCATAATCTTCAACCTTCAAGATGCTTTTTCCTTTTATCGACACGACCATTATTCGCGAAGTTACAAGCTTTAAAAAATCACTAAAAAAAATTGGAACTTTATTTCTGCGCCATCCATTTTTTGCAGAGTTTATTTTGTGAGACTTAAAAGTCGGCGCTTTGGGGGAAAAAAGAGTTCTAACTATATTCTAGGCATTTTGTATACTAAAAATACATAATCCTGCCTAGCTTTCATACTTGTACCCTGTATAGTCAAAAGGCTGCTAAATATTTATAATTTGAATCAATCTTATGCATGTACAGATCAACAGGAATAAGTATTTATGGATATCGGATCTAAATCTCCTCAAAGCGAAGAGATAGACAGAACTTCTGCGTCTAGTCTTATTGTTCAGCAGCAAACTTATTCCTGTCGATCTGTGACTTAATTCAAGAAGAACATTGAATTTAATGATAACACTAACACCCAAAATAAATAGTATGTTCCACCCATGCAACCCTATGAATTTGGATTCCCAGGAACTGAATCTGCCAAGGAAAATGTAACTTAATTAAATTAGTTTTGAAACCTAAAATCCCACCAAACTTTGTATTCAGTAAGTATCGGCTCCTCTTGGTTTTTGGCGAAAAAACTGAAAGGTGAGCATTTTCCATGGTAGATTTGATTTCTGGAGTTCCAAATACATTACACGGGTCTCAACCGACCACGTTTTTTGTTCCTTTGTAACCTTTTGTTCTTTTAACAAAAAAAAAAAAATACTAGAAATACAAACAGCAATTGTTCCAATAGTTAAAATAATTTCTTTAATGTATAGTTTAGTTTAGTAATTCGTTTTGATATCTTTTCCATCTAATCGCTCTACTAACCCCAGCCGCCAATTTAAAAAAACTGCACACGAATTTCTAACCCCCCTTTCCCTCGCGATATCCAATCAATCATACACCAGTCTATCCTTTAACAACTCACTGACTGAAATGTTTCTGGTCTCACACTAACACAGTCCCTTTGCTTTCTTGCGACCCTCTTCAAGACCCATTGGTGATTGTGTGCTCCTTCTTTATTTCGTCGATGGTGGCTATCGACACTTTCTTCTCGCTAGTGTCAAGCGGAAATTTGAAGCTCAACTCTCCATCGCAGAACAGGGGACTGTGATTGTTGTCGAATATGGACTCGCCTTCGACCGCTAGTTTATCTTCGTGAGTGTAGTACTTCGCAGCATGGCGTTTGGAGTAACACAAGGCTCCTACTATAGCCAACACGGTGAGGAAAAGGAGACATACGGAGGTGCTCGCGGCTATTATCCCCACTTTACCGTCTTCACCGATCAAGTAGAAGTTGGCATCGCTGGTGGTGTGGCTGGAAGCGGTACACCACGTCAGTTCGTTCTTCTGGATGAAACCAAGTTTCTTATTTCTGACTGTGTAAGGTCCCAGGCAGATTATATCTCGAAAAACCGCGCTGCGATTAATTCTGTCTAGTAAAGGAACGATATGGCAAAGGTCGCAAGACCAAGAGTTATTATTCAGTCTCAACGTTTGTATATTGTCCAACAGAATCAGTACATCCTCACCCAGTCCTCGAAATCTGTTACTGGACAAATCAAGCTCGGATAAAATCGGCGGAAGCAGTTCACTTGGAAGAGCTCCCAAGTAGTTTCCTGATAAATCCAGCACAGATAAACCCTTGGGGAAGATATCGAGTGGGATGTCCGCAAGCCCACACTCCGCCAAGCGGAGCTCTCTCAAAGATTCAACCTTCAGGAGCTCCTGTAACGCAGTAACTCTTAAACGGTTCCCGCTTAGAACTAGCACCTCGAGGGTATCAGCTACTGGTTCCAAGAATCCAAGTCTCTCCAACTTGTTGTATCCCAGATCCAACTCCGTCAGGTTGTCAAGGTTCTCAAATGCATTCGGATATATCCTTTCGATTTGGTTGCGGGCTAGATTCAATTTTCTCAGAGCAAATTGTTGTGCAAATGTGGAATCATGGATGGTGGTGATTTGGTTACCGTCCAGTTTGAAATGTTTCAGACGAGTTAAGTCTTTCATTTCTTCTGGTAGTAGAGTTGAAATGTAGTTATTTCCAAGGTCCAGGTATGCTAGATGAGGTAGCAGGTGGTAGATGTCGTTGTCTAGTTGGTTTAAGGTACAACCGCGGCATTCTAGATGTCTCAGCTCCTGGAACAAGGAGAAGGTAGTTGAGTTGTAGGTTTTATGCTTTTTAAATCAAGTATTATAGAGCAGACATTTTAAATTAATCCAAAACAAATAAAACAGCTTCAAAATTAAACCGTAGATGATACGCACGAAATGAGAACGGGATACGATGTGAACTGTGTGTGACAGTACGATCAATAGTTTTGCAGCAGCAGGTTCTTGATCACTGTTAACACGACTAAAATATGGCAATTGACTTACATTAGACCTGGTATGACATGACAAGGGATGGTAAAAGAGTAAAAAACAAACTGCCATTATTTCATTTTGTTAAATTTTTTCAGTTTTAGACGGAATTTGAGAAAAAAACTTATACATGTTTCTAAAGGTTAGCCCCAGTATAAATATGCCCCTCCTTCAAAGTCACAATCTACATATTAATGTTGTAATTGTTTAAAATGTACGTATCAAAGCGAAATACATCAGAAAAATTAGCTCAGGCGCTAAAGTCACTCTAATTCTTCCCCGCTTTGAGACAAACAGACTGCAACTTTTCCGGTTCTCCCAAAATCGAAATTTATTTACTTTAGTACGTGAAGCGCAAATGGCTCCATTATTTACATTAATTTAAATTCCGCTACTGCGTTCATCAAACAACCTACGACGGCTTTAATCTCGATCGCTGTTACTTGTTGATTTTCGCCTCCAGTCAAAGGAGGATCCGGCTAATAAAATCAATTAAATAATTACCTGCACGTCCTTGAATACTTCGGGATTCAGCACCTTAAGATTGTTGCCGCTGAGTTTCAGAACTTTCAACTTGCCTATTTCTAGGAAGATGCGCGGAGTGAGCTCTTCTATCCTGTTCCTCTGTACAGATAACACCTTGAGTTCGCGCAAATGTCTGAAAGTTCCACTGGGTAAAGAGATTATCCTGTTATCGTCCAGATACAGTTCCTTCAACCTCGATAACCCCCTAAAGTTATGATCCAGGGGTTGGGTGATGTTGTTCTGGGTCAAATTCAGGACATCGAGCCTATCGAGTCCCCAGAAGAAGTGCATGCCCAGCTGGGGAACGTTGGATTTGGTGATGTGGATCTCCTCCAAGTTCTTGTAACTTTGGAAAACGGGACTCATGGTTAGCTCGTTCATATTGTCTTCGGGTGCGATGATTTTGATCACCTCCGTGTCCAGGCTGACGTTGTTGAGGTTCAGGGGTCCCACCATGCCTCCTTCTTTGCACAGAACGGATGTTCTTCCTTTCTGGTCCAAGTAGCAGGTGCATTTGGTGGGGCATAACCTCGAGGCGTAAGTCTGGACTGCCAGGCAGGCGAGGATCATCAGTTTGACATACATTCTGGAACAAAACAAACAATTAGGGATAAGATTCTAACTTCAGAAGTTGGATTTTTATCTATAACAGGCGTTTTTGCAAAAAACTAGCAACATATGTTTTCTGGACTACATTTATAAGAATATTACATTAAAGGAACATTTGTATGGACATTTTTTATATTAATCTTCATCGAAGAACAATTATAAAATTACTTCAATTGGTAGGCAACTGTTATCGTGTTTTCTTACTGATTCCTTCTTTCGTTAAGCATTAACTCAACCTTTGTATAATTCCGTAACACAGAAGGATCTGAAATTCTCTTAAATTCATTAATCCCTCACTAATAACTAATTACGTCAAGTCAATATTTGCCCCAAGTTCTAAGGATTTTCGAAAGAAACGTAATAATCGTATTTCCGATCAAATATTTACACCAGTTACGGTGAGTTAGCCTCCTGGCCTTTCGGAGGAAATAATTGCTTTTTACGAATTAAGAGATTTCGGTTGACTGGTTTCACGTCAGTGGTATAGCAGGCGACGATTGGACGTTCAAAGTGATCGGATATAAATGACAAGAGGGTAAAAACAGGTCTCATGTACTCGCAATGTTTTCATTAAATTACTTTTATGAAACAACACTAAACAGAAAAACAAATTCTACAAAAGAATGAAGTGTCGCAGTTGTAAAATTATACGTGTGGCAATAAATGTAATAGAAATGGCCATATTGCTTTCACAAAGTGCTAGTTGCTTTATATTAATCTTTTTGCAGAAGCTGCCTTAGCCGTGACACTAACTCAGCTTTTATTTTGTTTTACATGAAATGTTCGTGCTTATGTTCTCTTTCCTCCGCCGCAACACAGCCAGTATAAAAAAAATGAGACACTTATTTGTCAGCTACAAGGAAAATAATTGCACTCTTAATATTAGGAAGCGTTTCCTGGTATTAATCTTTGTAGCAACACCTCAAAACACTGGTCTCAATTTTTATCTGCACTCTATAACCTGGCACAAAATAACCAAAAAATTATAATTTCTACACGAAAAACTGGTTATGCAACTAAATAATTATACTATAGCGATACTATATTTGCTAAATCGGATGTGAAAAACTGTTTTTGATCTACGAAACAAAATATTAAAGAAATATATTTCCTAACATATGACTGTATCTTAATGTGATAAACAAAACTCAAATGGCAATCAAAAAGAACTCAAAGGCCTTTATTTGTTTCCACAGACTCTTAGTCTGTAGGCTTAGTGCACATGCAGAGTATAACAGAGCCGGCGCGACAATTGGTGGCTTTCACAGCTGACTCGCGTTTTGAAATGTTCAATTATTTACGGAACCTTGTAATAGTTGGTGTCGTGTCGATACCTTTTTTTACATCTGCTGTAAATTGTATTCGCCGTGTGTATTAAATAACTATTTATAAACAGTAACATAATTTACATCAACAACTATTAGTTGGGGGGAAAAGTGAAGTAAAATGCCAAAAGAGAAAAGAAATAGACGACAATTATTTCAAATGTGGTTTGACAGTGATCCCGAAGGTTACTGGGACAGACGTATTAAAGGAAATGGCCTGTTTTGTACTTTGTGTGAACGCATTATAAAGTTTTGTTACAAAACTAAAGTGACAAGACATTTGAAGAGCCATTGCCTCGCCCAGCGCTTAAGGCTGTATTTTTCTATGAACCTACAGAGGCCTTTCTTTCCAGTAATATTCCATTAAACAAACTAGAGAACCCCAAGTTTCGTAATTCCGTAAATTGGAATCACATGGATTATCCCTAAATGAGCAATTTGATATAATGGATGATGTACAAAAAAATATATACGATGCCAATAATATACGCCCAGTCAGTAGTACGATAAAAGAAAAAATGCAAAGAGTGTTGGAAAAAAGTCCAGGATACACCATTTTGGAAAACATACCTAAAGTTTTATCTGGTACATATCAGGAGTTACCAACAAATACCTATATTAATATATAGTTCTATAGTAACAATTTCTCATACTGCCCCTTGTCAACAGTAGACGTTGAATGGTAATTTTCCTTACACAAGTTAATATTAAGTAATAAGCGTCGCTATTTCACTAAAGAAAACTTAGAAAAGGACGTAGTAATATGTTCCAATATACCACGGAAGCCTTGTCTCAACACTAAGATTTATTTTATCCTCTACTTAGCCTTGCTCTTTGGTAATAGTACTATGTTGCGACATATTTTCTGTAAACATATTAATATTTCCATTCATAATCTGACTACGGTCCTGTTAAACTCCCCGCCGCACTAAGCCTACTCAAAATTGACTTTATATACATATTTTTCGTTGTACATCTTCCTGGTATAAGTAACAACTACATTTTAAAACATTGAACATGGTTTTCTCTGCACCATATTTCAGTATCACCCAAATCATTCTGTGAACTCAAATAATTTGAAATATTATCAATTTTCCTATATATTTTCATGTCATCGGCAAAAATTAGTAAGCAAAGTATATATCGTTAATATTACATTACAAATAGCAATGGACTCAAATTGGATTCCTGGGGGACACCCAAGGTTGTATCCTTAATATACGTAGAAAGATTCATTAAAGAGGGGTAGAAACAAAACTTTCCAGCTTTTTCGAAAGAATGTCGTGGTCTATACGGTCAAAAGCCTTTGATATATGGATTTTAGGGTGCCCCAAAAAAAAAACGAATATCTTTTTTAGTGTCTCTTTGAAAATATGTTCGTTTATCATGTTTTAAGAGCCCTTTTAAAAAATCAGCTCAAAAAAAATTTTTTTAGAGGTCGCTCAAGATTTTTAAAAATTTACAAAATCGTCAAAAATTGAACTATTTTTTATTTTTTTTTTGTTATTTTATCATTTTCTAAGTTGAAAAAATCCCGATTCCGAAAATTTCAAATAGATATTTTAATTTCTAAAGTGACCTCTAAAAAATAAATATCAACGAACTAATATTTTTTTTTATTGAATTTTATGAACAAAAGAATAGAAATAAATCACGAAACACTTAAATTTTAAAAAATTTTAAAAAATTATAAATATTTGATACTCACAGTGCGGTAATAAATTTTTCCTCGACAAATTTTTTAAATGTCTCGTGATTTATTTCTATTATTTTGTTCATCAAATTCAATTGGTTGATATTTATTTTTAAAGGTCGTTCAAAAATATTTTAGGTACCTACTTTTAAAGTTAAAATAATTATGAGTGACCTTTAGAAATTAAAATATCGATTTGAAATTTTCAGAATCGAGATTTTTTTCAACCTAGGAAATGATAAAATAATAAAATCGCAAAAAATTCAATTTTTTACGATTTTGGAAATTTTTAAAAATCTTGAGCGACCGCGACCTCAAAAAAAATTTTTTTAAGCTGATTTTTTGAATGTGCTCTTAAAACATGATAAACTAACATATTTTCACAAGAGACCCGAAAAAAAAATAATGTTTTTTTTTTTGGACCACCCTAATGGGTATAGATTACATCTACCCTGCATGAGCGTCCAAAATATTTTATTGAAGGGGTAAGGAAAATACATAGATACCGTCTCTTAACTAAGGAAGCTGGAATCTGATCTTAATTTTGAGTTAAGCTTTGCTAATCGATCTTTCAATTTCTTAAATTTCGGAGAAGATAAAATAGTTTAATCTGACACTAGCCGCTAGGTTTTCGTCCACAAATTCCAGAATTTCTTGATCCACAATGGTTGTTCAAACTCGACGAGTTAAATGTTAAATTTAAACTGACCAGTTTCTCGAAAACATCTTTCAATATTTCTGGAAGTTGGAACCAATCATCGTATTCAACAGTTCCTGTAAGAGAACTGTCTATTGCAAGTTTTTGTAAATACATTGTTACGTTTCTGTTATCAAATAAATCACTTTGAATCTGACATCTATATGGAAGTATCACTGTACCAAATTTCAATAAAATCTTACAAGATAGTTCAAAGTCGATTCATTTTTCTTGTGCGGAGATAACCAAAGGCTTGCAGTTGGTATACCACTCCCAATTTCCTTCTTACAAACGATTGCCCATTAATTCGAGTACCCCATATTTTATTATACGCCTTTCAAGACAGAATTACTTTACACTTTCGAGACCAGTTCAACACGACCTACTTGCCGCTAGGGCCGCCCGAATATAAAGAAATACGAGTAGGCACACCACTCGGGCTTTCATAGGGGGCGCCTATCTGAAAATTCCAAAGCCTTTTATGAATTTCCCGGGCGACATTATTTTTTAACAATGGGTTAAATCTGCGCCGCGAGAGGAACGCGTTATCGTGTTCTGTCAGGATTTCTTACGGCGTGAAAATAGTCTCGTTATATACCGCGCCGGGGCACAAAGAAAACAATGCGAAAGCAAACTCCCATATTTTCACACCTTTTATGTACTGACAGTTAATAATGTCGTTACCTTCTTTTCTGCCGCTCCAACGTTCCGTGATTGATATAGCGCGGTCTCGGGGCAACTGGGGCGCCTCCCTCACGGCCTTGAAACCGGCTGCATAGCCTCGATAGTATCATACAAGACGCCCCAAAACGACTATATAAGGATTTGAGTAAATGCCGGTGTTTCGGTTATAATTAAACTTTCTTCAGAATACTATAAATCAGCTTTTATCGCTGAAAATATTAAGATTTAAAAAAGGGTAAAACATGGGTTGACATTCAAACACACATCAGGCTAGCTCCGCAAGAGTCTTATAGTAGTCTCCGCGTTGGGTTGTAAATTTCTCCTCATCAAACGACGCCCATCTTTGGGTGGTTATCGTCTTAAAACTATTTACATACTATTTTTTTAATGAGAATTTTCTTGATACATGACTTGGCAGACTTGTAATTTCTTCCATGTGGACAGCGATTCTTAATATACATGGTGTCCCACGGTGACGAGACATTAGACTTATTTCAGAGACTATTTCGGTTTTAATTTTGAAAATTTGTGCAGTAGTTTTCGGGCATGCCCTTCTCAACTAAAATAATGGCGTCCAC